GATGATAATCGTGCCTCGCGATGATCATTGCGCATGTGCAAGTCTACTTAATTAACAGTCACGTGCATTCGCGTACATACGCTTGTGTGTGTAATTTGTGTACACAAGTACAAACGGCAGAGGCGGCGTTGGTTAGGGATTGGGATGGGGATGCCCGGTTATAGTGCCTACTATAACTAAGGCACTATAAATGTGGGTATAATCGTCCGCCATTTTGCGACAAATGATTACCAGTTATCACTGTTTCAAACATACGGAATAGTTGAGAATACAGATTACAGATACGTTTTGTTTAAGTTAAACTAAAAATCTATATGGTTTCAACTATAAACCTATAAACCAAGTAGTTAACCCTTAAACTATTAAATTCTGAAATATAATATAGTTTTTAATTCTCAAGTGCATATAAGTTATAACTATAAAATACTACCAAAGATGGGCGGTTGTACTGCTGTAAATTGCTCCAATACACGTAGCAAAGGTTTTTGTCTTTTTCGGTTTCCAAGAGACCTTAAAAGGCGAAAAACTTGTTACAAAATGTCGCCGTGACAAAATGGCAGCCTACAAATTATTCCGATTGTGTTAAGTAAGTATTAGATCAGAATTTTTTAATACAATTTAGTCATGTTTATATTTTTTGTCGTTTCCTTCAGAATATAGGCATTAGATATAAATATCGTAATATAATAAAATATAATTTTATATCTTATGCATATTCCAATAGATCCATTTTGAAGAAGGGCAATTTGAAGAACATTGTCAGGATGGCTTAAAAAAACTTAAGCCAAATGCTGTACCAACCCTGTTCGATATACCGAATCCACCGCACTTGTTGGAAACCAAAAGAAAATCTTTGTATGAGGTATATATCATTATTAAACCAAATTTATTATAGTTAAAAATTTGCTTTTGTTGGGTACTTAAATTATATATACAAATATACTATTATTGTTATTACTATTAATAGTAACTTTAAACTATTTTATCTATTTAATTTATTTACAAGGCACATTCTTATAATAATCTTATTTATTATGAGTAAAGTTGTGCAGTTATTCAAATTTTAAATAAATATAATTGTATTAGATCTTATTTTTCCAAACGTTTCTGTAACTATAAATTTTAATAACCGTTGATAATTTTTTTTTAATCTTAATAATTCTAAATAATATACTAACAAAACAAACAAATAATAGGTAACCGAGTCCAAAGATTCTGATTTGGACCATTATCAATCAATATTGTTAAAAGAGAAGCAAGATTTGTTTATTGTTCAACAAGAAAATAACAACTTGAAAATTAGACTTCAGGTAAGAACACAACTAAATGTACATACTTGTAGATTGGTGTCATATATAATTTAATTTCAATTTTATGTTTTGCAGGTAGATAATAATCAATGTTATAATAAAACAGGCAATCATTTTTCAAAACTATTGAAAGAAAAAAATAAATTGTTATCATTACAAAAATAAAAGAAATTATTGGAAACAAAATTACAAATGGTCCATGAAGCTTTGGATGAGATTATGTACAATTGAAAAACAATGGCAGTTTTGTAAAGTATTTGAGTAAACAAATAGATATAGTATAGTTTCTCCAGGAAACAGTTTATTGTCAACGGCGATCGAAAAGATACATCGGTACCAGGAATCACCAATATAAAATAATAATTACTAATTTTTCAAATTTATTTTACTTTTGTGATTTAATACCTTTTAAAATTCAAAATTTGTTTCTTTTTAGTTACAATATAAAAAACATTATTATATTAAGGTATATAGGTTAATAGGTATATTTATTATTAATTTATCACATACATTTTGTAATAATAAGTACAATAATATAATAATACAATTACTTAATAGTTTTATTAAATTAAGTTATGCAGCTTAAATTGACTTGTACAATATTAAAAAATAAATAACATTTTTAGCTAAATAACAAATATCACAGGTTTATCTTTTTTTAGCAGTTGCTGTGCCATATATTTTCTTTCTTTTTTTTGAGTTTACTGAAAAGCTTACTGTAGCATAAGATCTTACAGTAAAAAAGTGTTTTACGATTCTTTCTTTAATATTACATGATTTAAAACATGTAGGAAATTCAATACATAAATCATTTACAATTTTATTAATTAAGTTATGAGAAGAGTTATGTATTATATATGTCTTATACTTAACATAGAGAATTTCACAATTACAAACAATTAGAAATAGTTCCATGCATGGATGTTTCAATCCTCCTTTATTCAATAATGTGGTGTATGTCTTAATACTTTCAAACAGTTCATCATTAGGTCCATTTTGCTGTAACTTAATCGCACATTCTTTACAACAATGTTTTAACAACATATTGGTTGTACTTCCAGCAATGTGATATAAACTGTTTAGATCAATTTTACTAATGCATGTTAATATATGGTTGATAGTTTCTGTTTCAAATGCATCACTAGGAAGGTTACTAGTGTTATGTGTAAACATGTCACTAAAATTATTAATATTACTGTGAATACTCTCATAATCGGGATTCTGGAAAAAATCTATAAGATAAGTATCACTGTCCGTTACATAACTACTTCTTTTAACATCGGAAATAAATTGAGAAACTGATATTATTTTTAATGCACTGAGACACTGGGTGGCTGTAGGAGTTGCTCCGGATTTTCGTCGAATTTGAGAAAAAACATTTTCAATTGCATCTTGGGTGAATCTATGACAAATCAAGAAATCGAAGCCACAATTGAATAGAGTTTCTGCAATATCAATCAAAGACAATGATGACATTATAAAACCGACATTTAAAGGTTTCCAACCATTTCCTATAGTTAAATTCTCAAATAAGGTAATAACTTTCTCTAAAAAATCATATTTACATTCTTTGTTATTTTTAGTTATTGATGTTTTTCTTAGTTTTGAGGCTGTCAAAGTGAACCATTCATCAATTATTTTAATAAAATGTGCTGTTACTAATGCATCTTGAGGTAAAGTTCCTAACTTTACAGCTAATTCAAGAGCAACTGCAGTTTTTAATGAAAAAAATCTAATCAACGTT